CACCAATCTCATAATTATCTGGCTCTTGGCAGAAATCCCCCCAGGCTTAATAAGTAAAATATTAGAAATCCAAAATTGCGCAGCTGCTATTGCGGCCGCACGACATCATATGGTTCTCATAACCAGCTGTAAAGAACAAATTATTTCACAATGCCTTTTCAGCAGTTCTGATTTTTGGGTGGAAACTCTAAACAATAATGGTGCATCTTTTGTCGAAATAATGAATGTAATCAAAGTAGATAGAGAATTAAGTAGAATTCATCTGCCTCAGGCATTGGGAGGGGTGGGGGGTATATTGGGGTTCTTGGTGGTGAAAAATAAGTATTTGTAAAGGGAAAGGTGTTTGATCACTGCATGACTGAGACTTAAACCTGAAAGCTTTGTAACTTTTCCCACAGTGATTCAATAAATAAATATTTTTTTAAAAAGAAGTAAATGTAATTGTTTAATATGTACAACTAAACGGAAAGAGAAAAGCCACATAGATGTCCCAGGGAGACAGTGTATCCTTGAGTTAATCCCCTCAAGCGAATTGACTCTGCCAAAATGCTTTACCTCTGTAAATCATACCTATGTGCAGTCCTATACCTCGAACCCCTTCAGATGTTCTTTTAAGTATGCAATCAGCTCTTCATTAACAAGGGCATTTTGACCATCATTCCGTGGTCCCCCATCTCTTTGTTCCTCTGCTGGGGAGGCTGGGGAGGCTGGGGAGGCAGTTCTCAGCCACCAAACACATCACACACCCACATTTTGAACTCCCACTGTGTAAGGAGCACCTCATCGGGAGCATGTTGATGCAGATGCATCAACAACTGTGATAAACGATGCAGTGAAAATATAAAAGGAATCTGGAATTGAGTTTTGAACACTTGGCTGTTTGGACACAGAGAGAAAAAGAACTTGCCCGTATTTCCTTCTTCATGCAGAAGTCATAAGGCTGTTAGGAAGGTTCTTTCACACCTTGTTGAACAACGGAAAGAAATAAATCAGTTTCTGGGAAGCTGAAGCTCTAGAGTGGTCTTTGTTGGATGAGGAATGGGGGGGGGGGGGTAAATGGGGCTAAGCTTCAAATATGTAAACAAATTTAGCTTTTCAATGAGCTAGTATTTCTCTGGTGGGGGTTGTAGTGTGGTGGTTGGCACAAATATTTTTACACTGAGAAATAAAACGGATGTGTCCAAGATGAAGCTGGATCCTTGGGAGAGTCATGTACAAAAGGAAGATACAGAAACTTCTCCTTTTTGCTAATTTTTATTACTCCCGCTATCAACTGAAAGTTAAATGCAATAGAAAAAGTTAACAGTTAAGGGCTCAAAACTTTTATGATTATTACCCTGAAAAATGAGGATCCTTATAAAAGTAACTTCTGAGCTATAATCCCTTCAAGGAAAATGTCAATTCACAAGCAGTTGCTACTGTTGAACAAGTTCTTCTGATATCACTCTTGAATCCAAACATAAAATGTAATCACTTGGGGCCAGAGAGATGACTCAAATGGCTGAGGGCATACATTTCACATGAGAGGCCTGGTTTCAATCCATGGCACAACCAGAGACCCAGGGAAACTCCTGAGCACAACCAGACAGGTACCCAAACCCCAAAATAAAAAAAATATATAGATATCACTTTTTTCAAAGTCTAAAACATTCCATTATTAGCAGTTTGTTTATTGACAGCTTTTTGGTTATCTTAAATTGATATTTTAGATAAATTTATATAAAGTCAAGGTGTTTGCCTTGCATGTGGCTGGCCCAGGTTTGATCCCTGGCATCCCATATGCTCCCCTGAGCACTGCTAGGAGTGATTCTTGAGCGCAGTGCCAGGAATAAGCCCTAAGAACCACCAGGTGTAGTCCCCAAATCAAAATAAAAAATATACTTAGTTTTCATTTCCTTTTAATAGAAAATATTCAATTTAATAAAATATTCCATTTAAGAGCTAATATATGGACCATTATTATAAATTATGTTTTTCACTTCTATTTTAGTGGTTCATGAAATGTTTCTCCTATTTTTGTCATGAGCAATTTAGCTAGTGAGCAAGTGACGAACAGAGAAAGGAAGGGGAGGAGCAGCCAGGTCAGATGGGAGGACTCACTGTGCAGCTTCTGCCCATACAGAGTGAGGGGGGGACCCTCTCCCCAAAGGAACAGTGGCCCTCGGGGTAAATCCCTACTTACACTGGGCTTCACTCCAGGAATCTTACCGCCCCGTGTATATTATTATCTACAATTCCATATAATAATGATCGCAACTTATACTCTTTTAGATCTGGTATAGTTTTAGTTTACAAACCCTCTGGACTGAGAATACAGGAAGGGAAGCTCTCAGGAGCCCCATTTTATCTATTCACTACACAGTGTCTCTGCTTAAGCCACCTGGTGAGTCACAGGTAATGTACACGTGCCCACAGAACGGAGACTCCACAGCTGACTCACCATTTGGGGGAACCTCGGCCTCTCTGGGCAGTTTTCCTAGTTTGCAGGGTAGGAGGGTCTGAGTTTGCTCAGCAAATAATGTTGGGGCAATTGGTCACAAACACAGATGCCAGATTGGATTCCTATAGCATATTTTTTTAAATGCTGATAAGTATAGTATTCTTAAAATTATAAGGTAAAGGTAAAGGCCCTCCCGTTGATCGTCGATTTGCTCGAGCGGGCCCAGTAACGTCTCCATTGGAGACTTTGTTGTTACTGTGTCTGGCATATCGAATACTCTCGGTAGCTTGCCGGGCTCTCCGAGAGGGGCGGAGGAATCGAACTCGGGTTGGCCATGTTGGCCGCTTGTAAGGCGAACGCCCTACCTGCTGTGCTGTTAACTATTATTACATTTTTAAAAAATCAAATCTCCTGAGTTACAACGCTTTCATGGTTTTTAATCATACAATGATCAAATACCTCTGCCTCCACCAGAGTACATTTTCCACCACCAATGTCCTCAGTATTCCTCCCGCCATCACCACGTCATCCCACCCCCTACTCTTACTCTTGCTCTACTTTTGAGCATCATGGTTTGCAATACAGATACTGAGAGGCCATCATGTTTGGTCCTTTAGATAAAGGAACTTTCAGCACACATCTCCCATCCTGAGTGATCCCTCCAACCATCACTGACTAAGTGATCCTTTCTCTATCCCAGATGCCTTCTCCCCCAGCTCATGAGGCAGGCTTCCTACTATGGAGCAATCTTCACAGTCCTTGTCTCTCCTGTTTCTGGGTGTTAGTCTCATATTCTGTTAGTTTATATTCCATAAATGAGTGCAGTCATTCTATGTCTGTCCCTCCCTTTCTGACTCATTTCAGTTAACATACTTTCCATGTCCATCCACTTATAAGCAAATTTCATGACTTCATCTAACAAGCTACCTACAGCTTGTATTACACACAAAAACTTTCACCGCATTTCAATCTTAGTATTTTAGAAAACCTCAAGACTGAAAAGAATCTTTTGTTCTTTATCTTTTTCTTTTGGGGCGATGTCAGGAATGGAATTCAAGGCCTGCCATGCGAAAAGCAAGTACTCCACTACAGACATATTCCTGGCCCAGAAGGATCTCTTATTAAATATTTTTTTAAAAAATTCAAAGTCATAAATCATAAAGGTGAAACACCAATATTCTCACATATTTAAGAGTCTTTGGTTCACAGGACTTTAGGGTCGGAGGCAAGGAGGGCCCCCAAGTAGTCAAGCAGTGCTCAGGGAATCCAGACTGGTCTCAGAGACACTCAGCCTGGTTCTGTGGGCTAGACTCATTTTGTGCCCCGGCGGAGGTGTTGGTGCTGCTCTGACTCGGGGGTGGAGACTACCAGGGATACACTCGGCTGTGTTGGCGAATGGCCACACAGCGCTGGAGATTTAATTCAAGGTCCAACACATACAAATGAAAATCACTCCCTTTCAAAGAGTGCCCTCGTTGCCAAGTTGAATGAGCTAGTCCCAGGTTTTCCACTTTAACCTCCTGAGAGATTTTTCCACTAGAGAGCAGTCCTTATTCCCCTAAAATATTCCCTCCTTGACTTTAATGACTGATGCCCTCACCATAGCTGATGGTCCATCAGATTGCAAAAGCTGGCACCTAGGAATTAGCCACACTGTGTTTTCCTTGTCTACAAACAGTACAGGTCAAAGAAAATGCCCTTCATGCCTCCCATCAGAACGTATCTTCTTCCTCTGCTCTGAGCACAAACAGCCAGTTTCTCAGCACCCGTGATTTCTGAACCAAGTAGTAGAAGCATCAGCGTGAACGAGGCAAGGTGACAGGGAAATGGTGAGATTAGTTGAGAAAGGTAATGTCCACATGGAGTTGAGGCCACTGGGAGAGACGTGGGGGAACACAGCCTGAGGGAACACAGGCTTCTCACCCTTGAAAACCACCATCCTGCCACTTAACATGGGGCATGTGATGAAGCACCACGGAGCCGCCGCCACCAAGACTGGCACTTTGGGATCATCTCAGAAGAGCCTTCCGCTGGCAGTACACCCAGGCCATTCTCCCTTCTACATGCTTTTCTTCCAGGTAAGGAGTATTGGGTTCACACCCAGGATAAGCTGCCGGCCTAGACAGGACCTAAAGCAGTGTTCACTCTTCTTACACCTGCAGGCCAGCACCTGTCCAGCACGCTGGTCCATGGACTGGCAGTTGTAACCAAGAGGGAGACCTGTGGTGTCCAACCTCTCTGTATTTACAGACTTGCACCTCTCAGTGAACCAGCTGTTGAAGACCCTGACTAGCCTGGAAGGGGAATAAGCCTGTGAACCAGATAGGGGCTCTCTGCAGGCCCATGTGTACCTGTCAACTGCATGGCTGAAGGAGGGTCCCTAAGGCTTCTCCTTGGCACACCATGGCTTTGGAAACCAAAAGAAATAACTGCAGAGAGGCAGGTCTAAGTCTCTCTCCCTCATAATGTCCTCCATCTGATGCCAGAGGACATTACCCCAAGAAGAGACCCAGACTACAGGGAGAGGGGTCAACATCCACACACAGACCAAATACCAGCATTCCAACAGGTTTCATCTATTTATTGATATTAATAGTAAGCCACTCTCCAGCAGTAACTACTGGTACAAGAATAAGACTGTTTCTTAAGGTAATAAAATAATGAAGACATCATAGACAAAGCATTGGGAATATTCCTTGCAGAGAAAATTGGCTTTTCTTCTCCGGCCACAGTGACCGGTGCCAAGTGCCATCGGGCATGATCGCCTGGTCTCGAAAAGGCACGCAGGTTCCCTCAGCTCAGCCCTGGGAATGTCCCAGGCTCTGAAGCAGGCGCAGGCAGCCCTCACACCCCTCCCTGCGCCAACTCTTCTCCTTCTTGGGGTCCTCTTCCTGCGTCCTGTCGCTGAAGCCACCGCTCCTGAAGGGTGAGCCATGCTCTGGGGACAGGACAACTAGCACCAAAAAGCTGGTTCTTCCTCTTCTTGAAGTAAACACGATGCTTTTTGAATTCTCCTTTATTTATTTTCTTAAGGAAAGAAAAGTCTCAAAAATATATGGATATGGCACTAGAGTGTAAAACTATACAACCGCATTCAGTTAACATCTCCTAACTTACGATGGCCCGTGGTACCCGCTCCCTCAGATGTAGAGCTGGTGGGAGGCCAAGGTGTCCATGAACGGGCGCACCAGGTTGTCTGTGGAGAAGTAGAAGATGAGCCCGAAGGCGATGGAGATGGGAAGTGCAGGCAGCGCCTTCTTGAACACGGCGAGCAGGAGCAGGGTCAGGCACAAACCCTGTGGGTCAGGCAGGGGAGGCAGAAGGAGGCCCCTGGTGAGGACAGGGCAGGGAGGCACTTTGGGACAGCCTCATTCCCCGGCTCAGGATTGTTCAAGGATGTGTGGGCCACCAGCCCTGGGCAGCCCATGTCCCTGGAGGGAAGCCCATGTCCCTGGAGGGCAGCCCCCATGACCCCCTCCACCACCACCTGCTAACCCCAAGGACAGTGCGGCCCCTCAGGCTATCGCCCATCTGACTACACTGTGACATGGCTAACAGGATGGCAGGAGGCCTCCTATCAGGGGACATAGTTACACAAGAACTGGATGGCCTTGACTGAACCATCAGTTGTTCTCAGCAGCTGACACCAAGGGACCCAGAGATGCCAGGAGGGCCTCTGAAGCCAATATAGTGGCAGCCCAGCCTGTCCTGTCCAGGCCTCAGCAGGCCATGGCCCAGTGTTGGGTAGAGGGACCAGAAAACTTGCCCCCTCCTTGGGGATAGCCAAAGCTTCTGGGCAGACAGTACAGAGACTGAACAGCAGCGGGGAATGGGAGGTGGGGATGGGGATGGAACTGTGCCTCCCTCCTGAACCCATATGGTGGGCACACAGCAGATCCCTGTCGGATGGAGACGTGATCCTCAGGGAACATTTCCCCTGTTAGGGGTTTCTGGCCATATGAAGTGACCACAGGGGTCTCCAATGTCTTCTGGGGTTCAAACAAATGGAATCACCACCCTCCAAGGCCTTGGAGAGCCCCAGATTCAGAACCCCACAGTGTCTGGTAAGCGTGAAGGAGAAGAAATAGAGCATCAGACATGGGGGTGGGACCATTGTGCACTGTGGGCCCGGCTGCAACCTCTCAAGTCTCTGAGAAGCATAAAGGTCATGAGCAGGCTTCATCCAGACCGACCCAGGCACGGCTTCCCGGAGCCACCCTGCACCTCCCTGAATCTGGAACCTCCCTGTAAACTGCCTTTCTGGGGATGACAGCACCTGAAGATTCCCCCCAGGGCTCCTCAACCTGCTCCCCACACCCCACTGCCCTGAGCAGTGGCCAGCCCACTCACGATGAGGATGGCCACGAAGCAGGCCAGTGTGGTATTCCAGTCCCCGCTGCCAGTGGCGGCCGCCTTGCCCACCAGCACGCTGTAGAAGATAAAGTCTCCGAGGCCGAGCTTCACACCCCCTGTGTGAGGAGGGGAGAGAGGTTGTAGGAAAAAACTATGGCACCTCCACAGCCCAGTGCCCTCCATCCCCACCCCAGGCTCTGGGATTAGCTCTCGAGAAACATCTGCCTGTGGGAACAGGTAACCCTCGGCTGTGAGATTCAGTTGGCATTTCTTAGAACCTAGGCAAAAACTGGTGCTTGGCAGTGAATTAAGAGTTAATAAAAACACAATGCCTGGGTTTTAGGGTTGATGAGCAACTTAATGCAGTTTGTTATTACTGGGGATTTTTTGTTTTGTATTTATGGCTTTTTGGTTTTTTGAGCCCCATCTCACAGTATGCAGGGGACCACAGGTGATGCTGAGGATTTGAACTGGGTCAGTGCGATGCAAGGCAAAATGCCTTAATACCTGTATTCTCTCTCTAGTACCTATTAAAAAATATATATTTTTTTAATTATTTTGATTTTGGTTTGGTTTAGGGTGTCACAGCCAGTGGTACTCAGGAGTGGCACCTCACATTGCTCAAGAGATCATTATTTGAGTCAGGGAGTTAACTAAGGTCAGCCACAAACAAGGCCAATGTCTTGCCTCCTACAGGAACTCTCTGGCATTCTTAGTGCTAAGTTTAAAGTATGGGGTTTTGTACAGTTCTTTTGGCAGGGGAGGAAGGGAGGATGGTTGCAGCGAGCAGGGTTTGCCAAAACAAGCCATGCTTAGGACTTACTCCTGGCTCTGCGTTCAGAGATTACTCCTGGCAGTACTTGGCAGATCCTATGTGGTGCCAGGGATTGAACCTGGGTCAGATGCATGCAAAGCAAGCACCCTACCTGTTGCATTATCTCTCTGGCTTCCAAAGTATGTACTTTTTTTAGGAAATTAAACAGCACTACTTTCAAGAACATGGGTAAATACTTAGCTATCTTCTCAATACCCTCCCCTGCTTAAACAGAGGCAAACTTAATTTGTAATGAGCTTATCTATGTCTGGTAAGTAAAAAGGAGCTAAGTAAACAAGAGCCTCTCAAATGCTCTCACTGGCGTCCATTGGCATCACTGCCCACATACACAACGTCTGACCTGCACACTGGGAGTACTTTGCAGCCATGCCTGGCCCCTTTTCTCCAACTTCTCACCCTGGTTCCCAGCAGGAGGTATTCCCCATCTGCCTCTCTCTGCTTGAGCCCCACCTGTCCCCAGCCCCACGACACCCCTTTGATTTCCACACTTTCCATTCCCTTCTGAGATGCAGAGACAACCGATTCTGCCCCCACCAGCCCAGTCAAGGCCACCCCAGTCTCCAGGGGCACCCGCAGTCCTGCTGCCTGTCCCTGCGCCTGGCCCCCTCTGACCACAGCTCACTTTCTCTGCACACATCCTGCCCTTCATCCTGAGACTGGTGACCCTGAATCCTGCCTCCATGGATATGACAATAGCTCGTACTTGCTGATGCTCTATCTCAAGCCTCCAACCCTTCCTCCCTCCCTGGATGACCCTCTCCTATCCCCATCTGTCTCACACCAGCCCACCCCACCCTGGCTCACCTCTAGGACTCCCTAGTGGTCCCTGTCCCTAGACCCTATAGATGCAGGCCTATGCTTGGGGGCAGAGGGGGTTGGCCTGGGTGCAGGGCTGGCCTGGATGCAGCTCTCTCTGCTTGGCTGGGCTTTTATTTCCCTCTGAAGACCCACAGCCTCCCCATAGCCTCCTGGGGGAGACCCAAGCGGCTCTAGGGGGCAGAAGGTGGAGGTTTGGGTTACCCCTGAGTCAGTTACAGTGCTCAGGGGACCAAATGCAGTGCTGGGAATCAAACCACAATCAGCCCCATGAAAGGGAAATGCCTGAAGCCCTATGCTTTCTCTCCAGCCTAACACCCCCCTTTTCACCTTAAAAGGTCCTTCGAGCCCCTCCTGGTCCAAGTGCCCTCTCTATACCTCTGGTGCTGAGTCCTGCCTTTGAGCGTCCCTGCAGAGCAGCTTCTAGAGCTCAGCTCAGACATCACCTCATCAGCATGCCGACCCCTTCACACCAGTCAAGCACTGCCCGCCCCGTCAAGTGTCCCCAGGACCCGGCTCTCCTTGCATCCCTCCCCTGCCCACATGACCAGTGCCAGCGCTCACTGAGCCAGCACCTGCCCCAACTCTCATCATTCATGATGGTCACTGATGGTCACTGCACCGACAGCCTGGCGGCTCCAGCCTCTACTATCTGTGGTGTGATAAGGGGCCTCCCTGCTCTACCTTCAGGGAGCCCCACCTTGGGCCCGACCCCTCCCCAGGCCCAGGCAGACCATGTGGACAAGGTAACTTACTTTCTTCCTCTTCCTCCAGCTCTTCCCCAGGATAGCCAGTCAGTGGGGGCTCAAAGACTTCGGGGTACGAGGGATCCCCGAAACTGTCATAGGAATCTTCTTCTAGGTATCCATGGGAGTGGGGGAGGGCAATGAAGAGAGAAGAGTCCAGTTAGCAAGTTCTCTGGACCCAGAAGACAAAACTGCCCTCACCCACCAGCCCCGCCAGCCTGAGGCCAAGCATAGCCCCATCACAGGACAAGGAGAGGAAGCACAAGAAATGGGGCCCGAGCAGGGGGTGGGGGGAAGGGAGGGGGCAGGGGGGGGTCCCGGAGACTGGGTTTTCCATCGGCCCCTCCCGATGTGGCAGCTCTGCAGAGGCCATGTCTGCTGCCCTGTACAAGCGAGGAGCAGCATCCCAGTACTCACCCATCTCGGGGTCGAAGGGGAGTTGCAGTGCTCCCTGCGAGGAGGGGTCCAGCTTGGCCATGCCCACCGTCCACACCATGGCAGCTGGGGAAGGAGAGGGAGGTACATGTCCCAAGGTTACTGTGTGACTCAGGGACTTTGTGGAAGGCCGGTGTGACGATGCCCCAGAAAGCCTGCCCAGGACCCTCAGATCCCGGGGCATCTGCTCTGCCCACTGTGAGGGGCGACGCCAAGAGGGGTCCAGATGCACTGACCAGTGTGGGGAGGCAATGCCTTTCCTTCAACAGTATCAGAAACTGAGCAGTGAACAGTGAACTAATTCTGTTTTACTGTACTGAAATTGAACTGAAATCTCTCTCTCTCTCTCTGTCTCTCTCTGTCTCTGTCTCTGTCTCTCTCTCTCTCTCCCTCCCTCCTTATCCTGCAAAACTGAAACTCCACCCACTGTGCAACAGCTCCCCCATATTTCCTCTTGCCACCCCCGGAAGCACTCTTCTATTTTTTGCTTCTAAGATTTAGTTTGCTTATCTGAGTGGACTCCACAGGGCATGTTCATTGTGGCTGGATCAATCAGCTCCATGAACAGCCTCCGGTTCATCCAAGTGGCAGCACGTGCCAAGGTTTCCCTGCTCGTCATGGCTGAGGAACATTCTGTTCTCCTTGCTGGTTCTCTTTTGCTGATCTGGGATTCCTGCTACCTAGGTGTTTGCCTTGCACGCAGCCAACATGGCCGACCCGAGTTCGATTCCTCCGCCCCTCTCGGAGAGCCCGGCAAGCTACCAAGAGTATCTCGCCCTCACGGCACAGCCTGGCAAGCTCCCCGTGATGTGTTCGATATGCCAAACACAGTAACAACAAGGTCTCCAATGGAGACGTTACTGGGCCCGCTCGAGCAAATCGATGATCAACGGGAGGGCCTTTACCTTTTACTTTTACTGGCCCTAGGGAATCAAGCCAGGAGCAGGTGGTGGGAATATCCGTCAAGGTGCTGCCCTCAAGTCCCCTGATGGAGTCCAGGACTGGCTCCCTGAATCATGTATTTTACTCCTCTGGCTTGGCACCATCTCTTTTGTCCAAATTTTTATCTGATATCGCCCACTGTCTCATAGGGTAAAATGTCCCCAAACGCTCCACAGCTGCCCTGAGGACACCTGGAGCCCCCTTCCTCTCAGGAAAAGGCCATTCTATCATTTGTGCTGCTCAGGCCACTAGTGTGAACATCACTCACACCATCTTGTTCCCACAGCCATTCAAGAAGTAACCACCACCAGTGAATCTTGTCAATTCCCAAATTTGCCTCCAAATTCCAACCACAGTTGCAGTCTACATCGCTGCAGGCTAAACCTCGGCCCCTGTCCCGGGACTGTCAGTCTCCAACCCCAGCTCTGCCTCCACTCTCTCCCCTGCAAGGTCTATTCTCTGCTTGGCACCCTGCATGACCCTGTTTAAGCACGGATTCAGGCTGGTCCACAATCTTCTGGGGGAGTCACATGTCACGCAGGCATAAAAGCCCAAGTCCTGGCCCTGGTCTGGGGTGCGGGGGGTTGCACTCCTTCCCTGCTCCCCCAGTCCGGCCTCCAGTTGCCTGCTAAGCCCACACCCACCTAGGAACTTTGTATCTAGTCCCTTTCATCTGGACCCTGATGTTCCTTGGAGGGATTCTGGCCACAGATTACCTTGAAACAGAAGGTTCCCTTTACCACCAAAACAGAACCCCCTGCCACCATCACCTGACCCAGCCGGTCTGGCTGTAGAACACCAAGTTCCTGACTTGGGTGTCTTGCTAGCAAGTTACTGTCTCCCAGAGAGGTGAGCTCCAAGGGGACACAGAGAACAGGGCGCAGGGGACATGGGAAATAGGGCTCAGGGAACACGGGGAACAGGGCTCAGGGGACACGGGGAACAGGGCTCAGGGGACACGGGGATGGCTGTGTTCCTTCCTGGGCTCCCTCTGCCCTGGCACAGCCATGACCACCTTTCCCACTCAGCCCCACCCCACCGCCCGCCCGTCTCTGCTACAAACTTCATCCAGCCCTCAAGCTGTTCAACACACCCAGCGCACCCTCCAAGGAGCTGAACCCCAGAGATGCAGCCTTTCTACGTACCCCTCAGCCCTCCCCCACCCCCGGAAAACAGATGGCAGTTCCAGGACTCCAGGAGCTGTTACCACTGCACCCCAAGCTAACTGCCAAGTGGCGCTAAGACACAGGCTGCTGAGCATGCACAGAGCTCTTTGCACACAGGCCCTGAGCCGGCAGCCACCCAACCCATCGCTACCAAGACTCAACTTCAATGGAGCTGGTAAGGATGTCCAGCGGGCAGCCCTCCTTTCCCCTTCTCTGCCCCACCCCCCCCACCCCCCCACCACCATGTCCTGTCCTGAAAATCCTGAAGGCTCTTCTCAGGAATCTGCCTGCAGCCAGGGTGGGGGCAGGAAGACAATGCAGCTGCTCCCCCCAGCTCCCAGCAACTTCACCTTCCCCAGGCTCTCCCTTTCCTGGCTTTCCCTTCCAACTGGCCAGACAAGGTCTCTGGAAGGTGGCGGCGCCCTCCTCCCCTTGGTCGGGGGTAACAGGGTCCCAGCAGCCCCAAGGGCGGACGCCTGAAGCATGAGACACTCACATGAGTAAATCAGGGCAGGGAATATGGGCTCATTCCTCTCCTGGGCTGTTTCCACCAGCATTCTCAGCGGTCCTTTGGGGCACAGGACAGCCACGAGATCTGGGGAGACAACGGGGTCCTTGTCAGGTGCAAAAATGAACTTTACCACTCACACAAAATCACGCAATCTGCTGCGCCAAGGAGATCACACTGAATGAAATGAGTCAGAGGGAAAGGGAGAGGGAGAGTGATCTCTCTGGTACGAGGGTTACAAGGAAGCAGAGCAGGGAACAACAGATGCCCAGAGGCAACCAAGCTAAGATCTGGTCTACAGGGCTGAGAATACCATTGCTGGGGGCCAGGGTTTGAGGGGTCTGGGGGTAGTGAGACACTGGTGGAGGGAAGTAGATGCTGATGAGGATGGTGGCATCGAAATGTATTCACAAGCATCATTAACAGTGTCTGGAGCCAGAGACGGTGAGGTACGGAGGGCACCTGACCCACATGCTGCGGAGCCAGGTTTAATCCTAGCACCCTACAGGGTCCACCCAGCTCCGCCAGGCATGGTCTCTGAGCACAGAGCCAGGAGCAAGCCCTGAGCACTGCTAGGTGTGGCCCCAAAACAAAAATAAGGTTTAAAATACTGTAAATCTGGAGCTGGAGCGATAGTATAGCAGGTAGGGTGTTTGCCTTGCACATGGCCAACCCGGGTTTGATTCCCAGCATCCCATATGGTCCCCTGAGCAGCGCCAGGAGTGATTCCTGAGTGCAAAGCTGAGTAACCCCCAAGTATCGCTGGGTGTGACCCAAAAAAGCAACAAACAACCAGTAAACCATGGTGCTTCAAAAAAAGAATAAAACAAATGCCCCCAACTGTCATTCCTGAGCCTCCCTCAGAGGCCAACAGGGCCAACTCCTGGGACTGAATGCCCGCTAATATGTCTTCATTCCCACCCCACCTCCTCCTCCGGCCCTCTCCAGAGGGGGCACAGGATGGAACCCAGAGCAGGACCTGGTCGAAAAGGACAGAGACCAAGGAAGAAGAGCCATGAGTTCCCAGTACAGTACCAACAGGCTGATCTTCCTTACCCTTCCGGTGGAAGTAACAGATCGGGAGTAACACCCTCACGGGGCCCTGGCTACTTGTCACGTCTGTCCCTAATCCGGGGCTGGTTCCAAGGAGCAGAAAAACTTAACAGCGCACCTTGGGGCCCTCAATGAGGGTGCAATGAACAGGCATTAGGGTCAGCAAACCCATAACACCGAGATCCCAGGTGCGTGGAAACTAGAGCCCTGACCAAGCTCAGATGTAGCCCATCCTGGCTTCCTTGGGGAGGGTGAAGAATGTTCTAGAACCACCTCAGGCAGCAGGGACTGGGTAGGCCTGGATGCCCCCCTGCCCCTCGACGTAGCCACCCCCACCCCCACTGTCCACCTACCATACACAGAGATGGCTCCCAGGATGACCCAGGCCGACCACTCGGGGAGGTACTTGATGAACACCAGGGCCATGAGCGCGCTGATCATGATGAGGTAGGCCTGCTGCAGCACCAGGGGGCCCTTCCAGTGGATGCACACCATGCCCACCGCCCCAAAGTTCCACACGGTCAGGAAGAGGGTCGGGTAGTCCATGGCCACATTGTAGGTCTTGAGCACTTCCCTGCAGGAATAAAGCCCAGCCTTGTGGGGGTGGGAGCTCCGAGAATGTATCAAGAGCCCGTCAGCCCCCCCGCCCCATCTTCCTCAAAAGTCAGTCCAATCTGGGCAGCCCCCGCCACTGGTACCAGGCACTCACACACTCCCACCCTGCACATCCATGAGCCCCATAATAAACCCCTGAAATCTTTTAATCTTTTAGTGGGGGGCAAGGTAAAGTTTTGCCTTTGGGTTAATTTGCGTGGACACATGAATGCGTCTCTCTCTCTCTCTCTCTCACACACACACACACACAGACATACATGCATTCTCTCTCTCTCTCTCTATCTATCTGTGTGTGTGTGTGTGTGTGTGTGTGTGTGTGTGTGTGTGTGTGTGTGTGTGTGCTGGGACAGCCCTTGTGTCCATGGAAAAAGAATTCTGGAAAGGGGCTTTCTTCTCTTCCTCTTGAGTCTAGGGGCAGACTGGCACCCCCAATCCAGGGCTACAAAGATCACAGTTGCCTAACCTCAGAAACAACCACCACTACCCCAGAAAAGCCTAGAACATCTCTATGGAGGGATCTCCCACGCGCCTGGGGCTCATGGACCGACAGCCTCTCGCCTGACGGAGGGCAATGGGCTGCTGCTTTGCTTCTGCTTTGCAGAGCCAGCGCCGGAATCCAGGGCCTCCCTCAGGCCAGCCCCAGCCAGAGTGTTCAATAGAGAGCCAGAGGGAGCACGGGTTACCCAAGAGCCCCCACCCCCAGTCCAGAACACTGAAAATGAGGCCCTGTGGGAGCAGGGGGTAGCTCCTGGAGCAGCAAAGCTGGAGCGGGACCTGGCCCCTGGTCCCAGCAGCCCCAGAGAATTACTGCCTCACCGCCACCACCATCACGCCGCCACTTACCCGAGGTAGATGTAGGTGAAGAGGAACAGCAACATCAGTGAGGACATGATCAGCCACCCGTGGATAAACTGGGCACAGAGAAAGGCAGTGTGACTCCGAGGTGTCCCCAAATCCCAGGTTCCTGGGCCCAGAGCACCGGGTGAAGCAAAGGGCGCTGTGCCTTCAACCCCCATTAGGCACAAGCCCAGCATGCAGGGAGGAGCCACTCTGCATGGAAGGAGGGCTGAGGGGCTCAGGCTCTCTCCAGGTTGGGAACCTGTGTGGGTGCGGGCACCCAGACCCTCTCTCACTGACAGGGCAGGCTGACAGTTCCCACATGCCAGGCCCGACTCCAGACCCTGAGCTAAAGCCAAGTAAGGTTCTGCCCACACACACACTGTGGGGGTGGGGGTCCCAGGCGCAGAAACCAGTGCCCATCTCAGCAGTTGGTGACCCATGCTCAGAGGGCGCGCCTGGCAGTGGAGAGAAGAGGCTATTCAAGGCGGTGGGTGCGGTGGTTCCTGGGGCAGCTCTCTGAGAGATAGTATAGTAGGAATGGCGTTCGCCTTGCATTCTACCAGCCGGGTTCAATCCCCAGTATCCTTATGGATCCAAGTCCTGCCAGGAGTCCTACACACAGAGCCAGGAGTAAGCCCTGAGCACAGTCAAGGGTGGATGGCCCCAAAACAACCGAAAAAAAAAAAAAAAAAGAGAAAACCCAGGGTGTTCCCTCCTGCACAGGTTGCCTCCCTCCTCCCCCGCCCCGCCTCCCCCCTCATCCCACCTCACTCCCTGTCCCCCACTCTTCTGGCCAAATACAGGAGGGTGAAGGCTGAGTCTGGCTTAGTTGATGCAAAACCTGTCCCTTTGCAGCACAGGTGCCAGCACTGTCAACTCCGCCCTGAGGATGGCCTCAGTCACACCAGTAGGGGCCACTGGGAACCTGGTGAGCAGCAGCAGTGAAGGCACCCCAGAGCCATGGATGAAGCTCCTGAGTGATGGCTGAGTACTGAGTCCCACGCTGGTGGCCTATCGCCAGCTTCAGGTGTCCCCTGCTCTCCTGAGCTGGAACCCTCTGCCCCTGACAAGCAGCTCTCCTCTGCTTCCCACACTCCAGCCTCAGGTTTCCCACCTCAGTGAGGAACAGGGTCACACAGGGAGTCCCAGACCAGCCACTCCCAGAAGACCTGCCCCGGGGTCTCTCCAGATGGAGCCCCTCCACACCTCCTGCTACCTGCCCCCTAGATGTACCGGGCGAGCCTGGGGAGAAAGGAAGGTTTCCAATCAGAGCAACACGTCAAAGCCCACGCTGGCCAGAAACAATCAGGCTGAGGGGACAGCAGCATCGATGTGGACAGACAAGTCTCTGAAGTGGGCGCGCCAGAAGGGACGGACACCCTGGTCCCTACCCCCAGCTGCTCTGCAGCGATGATCCCTCAGGACCTGGAGACCTCCCGATAGCCTCTGGGTGGCCCGCTCCTCTCAAAAGGGAAATGGAAAAATAAAAAAAAGAGAATAACCCCAGAGGGGGAGTCTGGGTCGAAGGGAGACTGGAATGAAACACCTCTCTTCTTCAGGGCAGCAGCCACAAAGGCAAACCCACTTGCCACGAGAGAAGTGACCACTGAGCACTGCAGGGTGGGAGCAGAGAGGGCAAGCAAGCGGACTGGACAGCCACGCCGGGGTGGGGGCCAAGGGAGGGGGAGAGGCCTGGGGGAGCCCCAAACCCCAGAGCCCGGGGACACGGCGCCGGGGGCTCGGGGCTGACCTTGTAGCAGCGGTACTTGTAGAGCACGACCAGGAAGATGGTCATGACCACGATGACGCTGATCATGATGAGGGTGTTGAGCACAGAGTTCAGCAGACGCTGGCCCACGGAGGGCGTGTCCTCGGTGAATGGGGTGTAGATACTGAGGGAGAAGGGCAGGGCTGCGGAACCCCCTCCTGCCGGCGCAGGTCTCCCCACCCGGAGGGAGCCTTGGGGGTCGGCGGATGGCGGCGCCCTGGGAACCCCCCATGTCTGGCTCAGGCACTGGTCCTAGCCAACAGGCCCACCCGCCCGCCCGCCTGCCCCCGGCCCTCCGCCCCAGTCAGCCGACTGAGGGGCAGGGCCTGGACGGCCGTGCTGGCCTCCATCCCTCCCCCCCCCCAGCACCTGCCCATGCTTCCCACCCTCCATGCCCTGCCCACCCCCAATCCCCACCTGCCGCCCCACACATGCTCCCAACTGTGACCCACCCACCCTTCTGCCAGCCATCAGGACCTCCTCACCCTCTACCCCGCCAATCCCTCCAGCCTTACAGCCCCGAAGCTGCACAAACAGCTACTGAGATTGGGGGTGAGTCACTGCTCTGGGGGTGCCATGGGGCGGGCGCTCTGATCCCCTCAATGCTCCTGATCCCCACAGACCCAGCTGGGCCTGAGAGGAAGGTCAGGGGTGAAGGCACCTTCCTTGTACTGAGTGGAGCCCAGTTCAATCCGTTGGCACCACCTGGTTCCCCGGGCATTGCTGGTACGGCCCCTGCAGTCCCTGGGTAATCCCGGCAGGGTCCGAGCAGCACATGCCCTCAGGGTGAAAAGCGGTAGGAAGGGAGCCCAGGGCCTGAGGCTGAGCACTCCTGAGCACTGCCTGGGGGGGAGGGGGCCTTACTCATCTCCCCAGACAAACAGCAACAAAAACCCCAAATGTGATGCTCTAGCTAACTCAAAGGGCCAGAGAACACGCCTGATGTGTGTGAGGTCCTGTGTCCCATCACACACCTCTCCCCTGGCCCTGCCAATGCCAGTGTGACCAGAGGGCTTCCCAGTACCACCAAGCCCAAGCACTGAACGGTCTAGCCAGGTGAACTGAGTACCACCTGGAGGTCTGGAGGGGGGGGTGCTCCCACCCACCCCCTGCAAATAAACAAATGAAGCCCCCTGGACCACCTCTCAGTGGGGGAGGGCAAAGGAGCTTATCCTTTTCCTACACTGCTGCTTCAGCCTGCTCCTTCTTTTGACTAGTAAACTCTCACTCACTAGCTAGAAATCTGTCCTGGTCATCTTGATTTGCACTTGAGGGTGCAGAGGTCCAGACAGGAAGTGCCTTACTTCGGGTCATGTGGTAGCTTGTGTCACCAAGGTGCCCAAGGCCTGGTGCTTGGGACACCCAGCTCAGCGCCCTGTGTGGAAAGTATGTCTAACCTGGCAGAGCACCGCATATGACAGGGTCTCACTCCCTCATCTCCCCCAAGCCCCCTGTGATCAAACCCACTTCTCAGATGAACAAACTGAGTCAGGGAGTGACTGAGGCATGTGCTCAGGCTGAAGGCCATGGATTCCCTCCCACCTGCTCTTTACCCCCACATCAGGGCACCAAGAGCAGTGGAAGCTGCCCCCTACTCCATCCCGGCCCGGCCCCTGACTCATAACTGCCACCCCCAGCATGCCTCCCCCATTCCACCACCCTATCCCAGCCCCTGACTCACAGCTGCCCGTTCTTCTCCGTGTAGAAGCGCACAGACTTGATGGTGGCCACCACCACGATCATGCACAGGGTGACAGGCACAAAGAGCATGATCACATGCCTCGCCCCATACTTGAGGGTCAGCTCCTCCTCCATGCCTGGGGGACGGCCAGGGACGCCACCGTAGATGTAGTGGTCGGGGTCATCGTCCTGCTCCTCCTCACTCTCCTGACCTCGCTGTAGGAAACCACGCCATGAGGGGCGCACAGCATCCCCAGTCCCACCCACCAAAGGCCTTCGTGCTAGGAAGTGGAGAGGAGAGGTGTGAAAGGTGCTCCCGGGGGTGCGGTGTAGGGGCTGGAGTTCAGAGAAGGGAGGGCCGGACCTTGGAGCTGTTTATGAGACTGAGGCATGGGCTGGCATCAACCATGGCAGAGGTGGCAAGGGAGGCCACGGCTTCTGCTGGTAGGCCTACCAGCTAAAAAGGAGCAGATCAAAAAACCTCACTCCCCTCAATCCAGGGACTGGGGATGCCACTCAGTTCTGTTCACCTGGCCACAATGACTCAACTGGAGATGGGCCAGGTAGCACTGTAGCACTGTCCTCTCATTGTTCATCGATTTGCTCGAGCGGGCACCAGTAACATCTCACAACAAATTGTGAGACTTGTTGTTACTGTTTTTGGCGTATAGATTACATCGCGGGTAGCTTGCCAGGCTTTGCCGTGCAGGTGACAGTTGGAAATCAGAGATTAACACCTCTGCCCTGCAAATCACAAACTAGAGTACAAACCAGTGAATTCTGACCATGGTTATGGGGTGGAATTTGTAAAGGAAGATACTGCTCTAAAATGTCAGTCCCCACCTCCCACCCCCCCCCACCCCCCGCTGCCCACTTCCAAAACCAAGCATGTGACATTTGCAGCTCTGAACCAGTGGGTCTGACCATGAGTCTATGAGGGGGGATCCTGGTGACAGGGAGGTGGGGGAGGACAATGAGCAGACACAAACCTGCATCAAGATCCTCTGTCTTTGGAATTGTGGCAACTCTGGATCATTAGCTACCTTATAAACTAGATTTAAGATCCAGAGAAAAAGCGAAATGAAGTAAAAATTCTAGATGGCTGTGAGGTTTCAGCATTTTAGTTTTTTTGCAAAAGAGAAATCCAATTTAGACATTTAAGTGAAAAGGAAAGAAAAACAAATCTCTGACAGAAACTGAAATTCACCAGTGCCTCCCTATCAGGTGAGATCAGGGTGAAGCACTCCCAGAAAAAGGTTCAGCTCAGGCTTTGAGGCTGGTGAGAGTTAGCTCAGAGCACCCAGTGGGACAGAAAATGAACACTCAACAAGGTGACTGAAGCTGACTGGAATCAGAAAAGAATCCATGCAGAAAGGCCTTTCAAATAAAAACAAACAAAACAGAACGGGATTCAGGTAAATGCAGGTGCTGTTCACAAAGATGGGGAGGGCAAGGCGAGATTACTTCATAACATAACTTCATAACAGTCTAATCTGCCCTGTGAGCAGCAGAGATGAACTCGACCCCATGCTGTGGATGGAACATCTGTGAGTCCACCCCCTAAATTCACAGGGTGAAACCTATCCCCCAAAGCAGTAGTAGCAGGCCTTGAAGGTGGGACCCCACGGGTGGGAATCCTGGGGCCCTGTATATGAGCGAGCCTGGGGGAACAATCCATCCCTCCTCCCACAGGACGCACAGAGAGAAGAGCGTGTGCTTAGAGCAGCCCCGGGCTTAGAGCAGGTCTTCCTGGGCTTGGGACGCTCCCTCTTTCCCAGCCTCCAAAACAACAAGTTTAGAAACTCCTGCTGTTTCTAAACCACACAGACCTGGGTAGTTTATTCCCAAACCCCAAGTCAAACATGAATAAGAAGAGGGGCAAGAGTGGTAGGAAGTGGGCTAGGTGCTTGCCTTGCATGCGGCCAACCGGGTTCGATCCCCAGCAACCCATATGGTTCCCTGAGCCCACCAGAAGTGATTCCTGAGCACAGAGCCAGGAGTAAGCCTTGAGCACGTCCCCACTCCCACATACCCCCCCCCAAAAAAAAGCAGAAGGGCACCTGCAGGTCAGGTCTCACCTTTCCATCCCTCCTCGCACATCTGCTGACTCCCTCCCCTGGGGGACAACATCCCCCCACCACCTGGGGCTGGTTCCGTGGGGACCTACCCACTGGGCAGGGTTCTCGCCATCCTCCAGGCCCTGCCTGTCCTCCTGGAAGCCACGCGCTGTGGGGCTCTCAGCCGACATCAGGGACGTCCGCTCGTCACCCACGTCGTCCTCGCTGTCAGAGGCCATGAATGTGAGCATGGCCCTACCTCAGGAAGGGCCTGGGAGACAAAAGCACAGAGACATCAGCTTGCGAAGCAGAGGCCAAGGCCGAGAGGGTGAAGTGGGTGGCTAGAAGCCCAATGAGGGTCTGGACACAGGTCCCAGCTGCGCAGAAACTTCTGCCCGCCTGCTTGGCTGAGAGGGTCTCGCCTGAGAGATGAAGCCACGCATGCCACATGCATCCTTCCTTCGTTCCACGCACATCTTTGGAGCCAGAGGTAAAGGCCCAGTGACCATACTGGGCCCTGGGGACAAGACTGTCAGTCAGAAACACCTTGTCCTATAAAATCAACAACAACAAAAAAAAAAAGCCACAAAATAAACACAACAGATGAGATCTAAAAGACATGGGGAGTGTGGAGGGCCTGAATCTCAGACCTTGGAAACATTCCCTTCTGAGGAGGACCGCAATCTGAGGGAGGCAGATGTAAGTTACCACTGGGGAGAGAGCGACAGAGGACATAAATGTCTGCATAGAACCTGGCACATAAATAGGTCCATGGGCCACAATAAAGGAGGTGGACATGGGCCCCTGAGATCAGAGGTGGCAGATGGGAGCAAATCTATGGAAACCTCTGTCTGGACAGACGATAAAGAAAGGGAGGGGAGCCCCTGCAGGTAGCAGTGGGTCTGAATGGGACCTGGCAAAAGAGACGGCAGTAAGGACTCGAGGAAGGGGATGGAAGCCAGACGGGGTTCAGAGATGCTTGGGTCTGGGGGTGAAACCAAAGGACACTGACAGCAGAGCAGAAAGGGGTGACTGGAAAGACTCTGAATCTCGTCAGAGGCCTGTTGTGCACGAGCAGGTGCAAGAGGAGGCGAGACAGCGCGAGTGGTAGCGCAGCCCAGGACACTTACGGGCTCACGCACAGCCAGGCCTGAGAGGCACTGGGTCTAGCATAGACCCAGGAGACACGGGGTCATCTGTGGTTGGTGTGACCCCAATAACAATGTGGATGGGAGAAAGCAGTGAGTGCTCAGGTCTAGGACACACACACAAAAAAAGAGCTACATAAGTGGCAGTTAAAAAAGTGTGGACCAACACCCAAAGGAGAGAGAATAAGAGGAAATTCCCTGGTGCTGAGCCAGGGTGAGGTGGTGGGGGATGGGGTGGGAGTGGTGGGAGGAATGCTCGGAACATTGGTCGGGGAAAATGGACACTGGTGGAGGGATGGGTAAATGATCATTGTATGACTGTAATGCAAACACGAAAGTTCATAAGTTTGTAACTGTACCCCACGGTGATTCACTAATTTAAAAAAATAAAAAGGGTGTGGGGGTCAGGTCAGAGCTCTAGTAAAGCAGGTAAGGCCTTGGCTTTGCACACCTCGAACCCAAGTTTGATCCCTGGCACCCCACATGGTCCCCAGAGCCCACCAAAAGTGGTGCCTGAGCTCAGAATTAGGGGTAAGCACTGAGCATTTAGGCCACACTTGGCCTAAAAACAGCAACAAAAAAGGAGGGTGTGTGGGAAGGATTGAGAGAGAGAGAGAGAGAGAGAAAGAGAGAGAGAGAGTGTGTGTGTGTGGTATGATGCATGCAGAATGTGCATGTGTGTGGTATTCACGTGGTGTGAGTGTATGTGTAAATATGTATGAATGTATGTGGTGTGGGTGGTGTAGATGTGTGTGATGTGAGTGGTATGTGCATGGTGTGTGTGAATGAGTATATGTGAATGGTATGAATGTGGTGTATGAGTGTGAATGTGTGCAGTATGTGATTATGAATGTGTATATGTGTGGTGTATGTGCAGTGTGTGAGAATGTGTGTGTGCCGTGTATGTGCTGTGAGTTGATATGCGTGTGGTGTATGTGGTATGTGAATGGTTTGTTTTGAGAGTATGTGTAGTAAGGGTGAATGTTTACGTGCGTGTGGGGTGTGAATGTATGTGTGTGATGTGTGAGAATGTATGTGGTGTGGGAATGAGTGTGGTGTGTGTGATGTATGAATGCACATTGTAAGAGTATGTGGTTTGTGAGACTGTGTGCAGTGTGTGTGTTTTTATGTGTGTGGTAAATGTGAATGTGTGTGCTGTGTGTGGTGAGTATAAATGGGAGTATGTGTATGTCTGTGATGTGTGTGTGGTGTGAGAATGTGTTTTATCAGTGTGTATGTGGTGTGTGAATATGTGCTGTGTGTATGTGTGAGTGCGTGTAACCTTTCACACACACACAGTGGAAAAGCAGCACCTGGGGAAGACCACAGCACCAGGGCAGACAGAGGGGAAGCTCCCAAGATGGCTGCGCTGACCTAACAGTGTGTGTATACAGAAGCTGGATCTCCCCAAAGGGGCTGGAAGTGCTTCAGACAATTCCAGTGGGAGACAGGTGCCACCAAGTGGGAGGATAGCTCATCTCCCACCAGGGCCTGTTCTACCACCACCTGCCCAGTGGGGGCCCAAAAGCATGAGCTCAGGGCCCCCCGAGACAGACATCGCAAGCTGTCCTACTGAAAGCTGGGTGACCTTCCCACTAGCCCCAGGATAGATGTGATTTTTACTCAGAGTTGAGTCCACAGGGTTTGTGCTCCCAGCTGTGGCAGGACATGAGGAAGCCAGGGCCAGGAGAGGTGAAGAGGGGGGTGCCCATCAGCGGTGGGCAGGAGAGGTCTCCATCCTGCCCAGTAAAAGTTGCACCATGCTTTCAATACCTCGCCAGGGAGAGTGAAGGTGGTGAGGCTTGAGTGCGGGCTGGAGAGAGAATACAGCAGTGAGGGAGCCTGCCTTGAACACAGCCGATCTCACCCACCTCCCGACCCAGCCAAAGGCACCGACCCGGCCCCAGGCACCGGCCCACCAGGAGTGATCCTAGAGTGCAGAGATGCCAGTGAGCCCTGAGCCCAGCGGATGTGGCCCTAAAAGAAAAAGAAAACAAGTGTGAGGTAAAGGACCTGCTCCCACTGAGCTCCTTGCCCTGGCTGATGTGGGGGTCCTAGGGGCTCAGGGTGTGTGTGTGTGTGTACACAGTGAGCGGGCTGCTGCGGAGAAGAGGGGTTCAGGGTGTGTGTATGTGTGTGTGTGTGTGTGTGAGTGTGTGAGTGTGTGTGTGTGTGGTGATGGTTTCTGAACAGGAAAGGGCTGTGAACAGTGAGCGGGCTGCAATGTCCCAGTGGAACACATTCTCAGGTGGGGTGCATGCTGGGATGCTTAGACAGGCTCAGCAAAGGGTCTGAGGACGGATGTGCTCAGCAGAGCACAGCATGGAGCCTGAGGGAAAAGGACCCGGAAGTGCAGCCCACTTGCCCACTTCCTCCCACTGTGGCAGCAATAAGGAGACCACAAAGTCTCCAGCACTTACTCAGTCCTGCTGGACCTCAACAGCCGCACTGACAACCCTGAAACTGTTCTTATCGCGAGAGCAATGCCCAACCAAGAGTGGGTCCTCATCACCCCCTGAATCCTGATCCTGTAGTTCCTTCAGTGGGAGCAGGAAACTCCCAGGGGTCTCCTATCCCTTGTCTTTCAACATGTACTTTTGGGTTGGGTATGCATGATTCCATGGTTACTCCACTCCCTTTGCTCTTCCCAGGAGCTATCAGGAGCCCTTCAATTTTAGGGTGCCCTTCCTGAGCCCCATCAGCTGCTCCTCTCCGAGTTGCCAAGATACCAAGTAGGCACACAGGATTGGGTTCCTTTTAAAAGGAGAAAGAGAGTGGTAGGAATGGTGGGGTCAGAAAAGCAGAGGGGCAGAACCAAGCTGGGGTTCAGCCTCCAAAATCCATCCATTCTGCCATCACTGGCCCTGTGCCTGCAGAGTGCCTCCGTCTCCCTCAGTTTCCCCTATGTCTCAAAGGAGGGCTGAATCCCTTTCACAGTGCCTCCTTGGACAGCAGGCGAAGCATCTGGAAAGCATGAAGCCTGTTTCCACCCACCAACAATAATGCAAAGACAAAGCCTCCTCACTAGAGAGCAGACGCTCCCTGGGCACTTAACATTTAAACATTCCTCTAAAGCCTTCTCTGAAGTGGTGCACAAGAAAATGATACCAGGATGACCTCAGCTCCAAAGAGGCAAAGCAGAGCAAGGAGGAGGTGCAGCTGAGGAGGACCAAGGAGGGATGGGTTTGACTGTCAAAGCAGGGTCCCCATCACAGCACTGGACTAGATGAATGTGAAGGATCTGGGCGGGGGTCTTTGCTCTATTTCTTAAAGTGGACTGGTCCCTGAGCCCAGTCCCCCAAAAGGAAGGAGGGGAAGAGAATCACCTGTTAAGCCTCAAGGAAGCACCAAACACAATTACTTGAGAAATTAGACCCTACTCTTCCTTGCCCTTTACAGATGAGGAAAAAGGCTTAAAAAGCAAGGGATTCACTTCCATGACGATGGATTTTTCAATGCCAAGCAAAAGGAGGCAAAGATAAACAAATGGGACTGCATCAAATGAAGAAGCTTCTGTACTGTGAAAGATACAATGACTAGAAATGAAAGACTCCCCACAGACTGGAAGGAAGGTTTGCTTATCATTTACCTGACAAAGGGTTAATATTCCAACATATATAAAGTACTTATAAAATTTAACAAGAAAAAACCAGCCCCATCACAAAATAGAGAGAAGAGATGAACAGAACTTTCCTCAAAGGAGACACATATATGGCTAAGATGCAGAAGAAAAAGTGCCCTGCCTCTCTATCCACTAGGGAAATGCAAATCAAACAACAATGAGATATTATCTCCACCAGTGAGACTGGCAAACATGGAGAAGCACAAACAAAACTCAGTGTAAGTTTGGATGTGGGGGGGGGGGGGGGGGGAAGGAAGCCTGACCCATAGCTGGTTGGAATATCAACCGGTTGAATTTTCTGGAAAAAAAAAAAAAAAACATGGAACACTTCTAAAACACTAAGAACAGAGCTCCCATATGATCCAGCAATTCCACTTCTGGGTATCTACCTAAAAACTCTATTCAGGAAAGACATATGTGCTCCTATGTCTATTGTCCTATTCACAACTGACAAAATCTGGAAACAACCCACGTGTCCAAGAACAGACTGCTGGATAGAGA